TGAGCCTCAAGCCTCCTAATCCCCTTGGAAAGCCTCGACAAGCCTAAGATTCCTGTCCGCAAAACCAAAGCTAAGGCTTAATCCCACCTAAGTAATTAGAACCCGAGCCTGAGCCCTCCTAAGCCCTTAATTATCAAGTAATTAAGCCTTAATTAGGTTCAACCCACCTAGAACTCCTTAGAAAGCCTCCAGAAGCTTAGGATGCCAAAGCTTTAATTAAGGTTTTAGGGTTAGTTAAGTAGGTGGGTTCTCCGGGTTAAAAGAGAGTTTCGGGCTTCAGGGTCAGGGTTTTTAGGGCTTCGAGAGGGTTCTAGTTCAGGAGGGGTGGAGGGTTAAGGGTTTTAAGGTCTGGGTGGGGGGTTTAGGTCGTGGCTGCCTTAAGATTGACCATCAGCAGACAGGAGGAAACCCACCCCAAAAAACCCCACCCCCCAAAGAAAACGCAAGAATTGAGCCGGTCGTTTTTTGGTTTCGGCTTGAATAAGCACAAAAACGCATTATTCAATCCCATGTTGTGAAAAGGGCCGCCACATTAAGCCCTAAGTCCACGGGCATGGGATGTTCAAACCCTCTGGGGATCTTAGGCTAGCAAATACTCGAGGGCGCTCTTCGCGCGCTTTGCTTGAGACCTGAACCAGTCACTAAGCCATAAACCTTGTAGCCCTGACGCCTTCCAGCCCTAAACCCTGGAAGCCCTAAGTGCCATACCCTAAGGCGCCCCGAAACTCCAAAACCAAAATGCTGCTGCTCTGACAATAGTCCGCATCCTTCGCCCAAAACCCGAAACCGTAAGCGGTACCTTCGGCAACATTTGTATTGAAACGTACCAATACCGCCACACGACTTCTGCAACTTCTTCGGGGCACCGCCGAAAGAAGAAGTCCGGCAGTGCCAAAGCACGCGACACCGGAACGCCAGCCATCCGCCTGTCTGGGCTCTGGGCTTGACAATTGTCACCCGCCGCGGCTGAAGTATAATTAATAGTCTTGGCCCGTAGACTCGAGCAAATAACGTGCAAACATGTCATGTGGGTGTTGGCGTTCTAGACACATCGCAAAGTACAAGTGGCACAGTGTGTCACAAAAATTGTACAGCCAAAACGCTGGTCTATCGCTTCCGCATTGTGATTCGTCGAATAACCTGTTTGCGACCTTCACTTCTTGCTTCTTGTGGCGCACGGTTGCAGGAATGACTTGGCCCTACGCGTCAAGTGTTTGCCAGCAGGTAGAATGAGCCAGAGATGTCTCGTTCTTGTGTTGTTGCAACATGCGGAATGCCGTGGCCGTGAACATCACCAAGTCACGGCGATGGGGCGGCAAGCGAAGTTGCTGCTTCGACCTGTTGGCCCACGCTCAGGTCCGGTCCTCCGCCGTCACCTCGATCTCCTGCAACTTTGTGTTACGGTCCTGCTCTTTCTTCAGCAATTCCAAGCTCCGGGCCCAGATTGCCCGATCTAGCCTCAGCAGGCGGCAGCACGGATTCAAACGAAGTCTTTCAAGCGCTGACTCAAGAGCCATTTATCGGAGCAGAGCCGGTCAGTGAAATGCCAGGCTCGCTGTGCTGTCTGGTGCTTGCTAAGCTTTGCACTCTATGGGGATGCCCACCAGCTATATGGCTGCAAGATACTGCAAGCAAAAGCCAACCAGATCTTCAAAGGTCTGGCCTCGAAGCTTGCTTCTTCAAAAAGAAGTGGCAAACATGTTGGGCCTTCTTCCAGCTTTGCACCCTTTCTACTGACGGCCCAGTAGGCTTTCTCAGCCCTGCCCCAG